CACACACACACACACACACACACACACACACACACACACACACACACACACATACACACATACACACACACACACACACAAAGGGAGTGGTACTGCACCTCTCCCCTCCCTGGTGCTGGGCTGCAGGTCAGTTGGCCTGCTGCACTTGGATGGATGGATCGATTGGTGGATGGTTGAGTGGGTGGTTGGATATATGGATGAGGGGGTGCTCCACTGGCTGGATGAGATGAATGGATGGATGGAATGGATAGAATCGATAGAATGGAGAGAATGGAGAGAATGGAGAGAATGGAGAGAATGGAATGGAACGGAATGTGGAATGGGGATGGAATGGATGGGATGGAGTGGATGGGATGGAGTGGACTGGATGGGATGGAATAAAATGGAATGGGTGGGTAGATGGTTGGGGAGGGACAGATGGACAGAGGGACGGATGGATTGCGGGGATGCGATGAATGGGAGGGATGTGAGGGATGGGATGGATGGGATGGATGGGATGGGGTTGGGTTGGCGTTGGGATGGGGTTGGGTTGGTTTGGGATGGGGTTGGGTTGGTTTGGGATGGGGTTGGGTTGAGTTGGGATGTGGTTGGGGATGGGGATGGGGATGGGGTTGGGTGGGGGGTTGGGGTTGGGGTTGTGGTTGGGTTGGGGTTGGGGTTGGGGTTGGGGCTGGGGCTGGGTTGGACTCGCTCGTGGCTTGTTTGGCCTGTGTTGGGGCTGGGTTGGACTCGCTCGTGGCTTGTTTGGCCTGTGTTGGGGCTGGGTCGAGTTGGGTCGGATTGGGTTGGCTCAATTGGACAGACGGACGGATGGATGGATAATGGCATGCGTAATAGCTATAGAGGGAGGGAAGCTCTTGTTTGACATGCCATCATCCAACATTTACCTCGAGACGATCTTTCAGCCGTTGCTCAACAAAAAAATCCCTCCAAGAATGGGCCCCGTTATTATTCAACGGAACGACTCCCAATCTGCAATACATTAACGGAAAAGAAAAGAGAGAGAATGGCAGAAAAATGGAGTAAATAGAAAATACCAAACAGTAAAAACAGGGTGACTGGTCCTTTGGGACATCCATTAAAACTGGAACGGTACAGAGAAGATTAGCATCTAGACTTGAATCATCTTCACCCGAATAGAACGCCCAGTCATTATAGCCGTATCTAGACTTAAAGTTGCCCCAAATACAGCTATAATGACCAGGTGTTTCTATTCGGGTGAAGACAGTAGGCTACCAGCTGGGCCGCCCGGGTCACCCTGGTTTCCTGGGTGGCCCGCCCGTGCAAGGACCGGGAAAGGTCCGAGCAAAATTATTACAAAAAAAAAGAAAAAACGTTATGCAGAAAAATAAACTGAACAACTTGTGCCTCAAGGTCAGATCGAAATTCTTTACCAAATTAACCCCCTCTGATGGCTGGAGGGAGACAACAACGCTATGTTTGCAGGGGTCCCCTGTCTAAGCCTTAGGAGTAGTGGTAGGTAGGTAGGTAGTGAAGGTGAATTGCAAGAATTTGAAAGATGATGAAAGATTTGACAGAAGAATATAGCGTAGTTTAAAAATAATAAAAAAACATTTGTTTTTTTTATTCCGGTCAAAATTTTCCTTTTATTATCAGGGCCCAGTGCCCAAGGCGAAAATACAATTAAACACAAGTTTCAAATTCAGAGGCCACGAGGCCTCCAACTGCATTCAGCCAGTGGAGCCCGTCCCCTGTCAAAAAGGAACCCAAAAAACGACAAAACGGCGATAGAACAAAAGAAAAATTCTAATAAAAAATTGTCGATCCTAAAAACAGAAATTGCTAACCCTAACAAAAACGAGAAAACAACGGTAATCAACAAAATCCCGAGAATACGTATGCTGTCTACTGCCTAAGACGGCAGAGAAGCACCACGAGAAGCAATTCCAACAGGAAAAACCTTCATAATTCCAACAGAAGTCCGAAAAAAAAAAACTAGAAAAAAAAAAAAACTTAGAAGAAGTAGACAACAAAAAGCAATTCCAACCGAAGTCCAAAAAAAACCTCAAAAATCCTTTGTAACAAGCGCACACCAACCCCACAAAAGACTCAAGACGTTTTGTAGCAAAAACTAAGCCAATCCCACAATAACCAATGAAAGACAAAAGCCATGTCCACCAACGAGCCATCGAGGAACCATAACAACACAAAACCAAATTATTCGCAAAAACGTACGCTCGTCTACAGCGACCGAGAAAAACAATGAAGTCTCGAAGATCTGTTGTTGTCGAACAGCTTCGTACAAAAGGCCTCTCATCTCCAACAAGTCAGCGCTCAGTTTCCCTTAGCAGAGAAAACAAAACGTACAGAAAGCCGTAACTCCCCTGGCCAAGCAACTCGGGGAACAGGAAGACCAATCCGTGCCGACAAGGAAGTCCTGTCGATCGAAAGACCTTGATAACGTGAGCTTTGTTATTGAGCTCCATATCTGAGATCAGCAGCACTAAACGCGCCCCGATCTTGGTTACATATAGGGTATTAAAAGGGGAGGTACACCAGCGATCCAAATCAAGCTATTCATCTCACACAGCACGCCACACCCACCGCTGGCACGCACTCCTTGAGGCACGCCAGAAAAGCTCCATATCCACAACGCATAGACATGGCCGCCGTGGGCCGCCGGAGCCGACCAGGTATGGTAGCCATGGCCTGGGCCAAACCCTAGCTCCAGCGCCAGCAGCTTCGGGCACTCAGCGCTAGGCCACTTAGCAACGCGCCGCCACTGGTGTCCCCGACCTTCCGCGCCCAAAAAAAAAAAAAAAAAAAAAAAAAAAGAAAAAGAAGAAAAAAAAAACATTCTTTTAATTTCTTTACCAAATAAAATAAAATAATTTTTTATTACTATTATTATTATTATTATTATTTTTGGCCCAAGTAACCTGTTTTTGAGAACCGAAGGGATAGCGCGTGATAGCCTCTAAAACACAACACGCCCCAGCATTCACAAGCCTATTTTCAGGCTGATGTCCTTGATGGTTTTGGGGAATCTGCTGAAGATGTCTTCTCCTTTTCCACTTTTGGGTCACTTGAGATAATATGTGCGTTAGTTGAACTTGGTTCTGTTTGAAAGGTATTGTTCTATAGAAGGTCGTTGTTAAATCTATAACAGTTTTTTTTACTTTTTTAAAGCTTTCTTTGTTTTTACTATTTAGTAACTTTTTCTACCCAAGTAACATGTTTTTGAGAACCCAAGGGATAGGGTGATAGCCTCTAACTCCCCGGCGAAGAAAAAAGGATATATTATAAACACATCAGCAGAGGCAGCCATCCATATGGTCAGGGGTAGGTGCCCGAATAGGTAGCCTGATTGAGAGTACCTTGTACTTAACGGGAATCCGAAATTGGATGTCCCAGAAAAAAGAGTTCCCATGTCCGCAGTATGCATCTGTCCCAGAAGAGTCCCAAGCTTCTGCTGAGCATCAACTTGGATCTGGTTGGAATCAGAAACACAAACAGTTTGTACACCCATGAACTGCTGAAATACAGACCCGAGTTCGAATCCAGAGGGAACCAGATGAATAAAAAACCAGAAACACAAACGAAGTAGCCGTAACTCAATGATCAGTCCATCCAAGGTGGCAAGCTGCTGCGTAGCATCATGTTTGCGTTCGTAGGCGAACCCGAACATGTTCCACCCGAGAACGAAAACGAACGCCCAAAACCCTCCGAACACGAACATTAAAAATAAAAGAAAATCTCCGAAAAATCTGACAACAATAATATATGTCATGTAAAATATCAATCCAAGCAACTTTTGCCTTGGAGTCAAGTTCAAACCCCCCTCCCCTTACAAGCAAAAAATTACGTTCGCCCGAACACGGTCGCGAGCTGTTCGCGCGAACGAGGAGGGGTGCAAACACGTTCGCCATGCTACACAGGTGGCAAGGACAATAAAAACTTGAAGAAAGACAAAATCAATCCAGAAACTACAACAAAGTTCAAGAAGAGGGTTCAAAAAACAAAATAATCCGCCTACGATGACTCTAAGAACATCGGGCGCGATCAGTCGGAAGAGGGGTAAAAAGTTAAAAACCGTCGGACAAGAACAGTTGACTGGTTGAATCAGGCTCAAGATCGGACTGTTTTCGAGATTGGAAAGAGGTGGGGTGGTGGTGGGGGGGTGGGGGGGTGGGATACAAGTAGGCAATAAGACTAAATAAGTGAAAAAGAAAAAGAAAAAAAGAGCAATGTGCACAAAGGCAGAGTCTAAATGAGAGGGCGTTGGGGGTGCACGAAGGAGAAATACAAAGAGAAGACCATTCAAAAAGGTTGGACTAATAACATGGACCAGGGAAGAGGCCCATGACTCCCATGAGAGGGGACTGAGAGAGAAGGAAGAGATGGTACGCACAGGCAATCATCCGCAAACCGATTTGGAGTTCAACTTGAAGAAATGCTACGCGATGTAGCTTGTTTGAGGGCGCCTGTCAGGTTTCTGGATATTACAGGAGGGAAAGCACCGACACATGAGAGCAAGAAAGATATGGCAGAAAAGAGGATCAAAGAGGCAGAAAGAGCACCATACACACACACACACACACACACACACACACACAGAGAGAGAGAGAGAGAGAGAGAGAGAGAGAGAGAGAGAGAGAGAGAGAGAGAGAGAGANAGAGAGAGAGAGAGAGAGAGAGAGAGAGAGAGAGAGAGAGAGAGAGAGAGAGAGAGAGAGAGAGAAATGATGCAGGGTGGAAAACAGAATGCTTCGTAAGACAGAAATCCTTCACTTGTGCGAGAAAGAAGGGAGGGGGCAACTGAGATGTATCAATGGGACGCTGGACCCGGTTTCAAGCAGGTGCCGCTCCGCACCAATAGATGGAGCAGCCTGACAGATAAGCCCTCAATTCTGACGGTTCTCTTACCACCGCCGGGATAGAGGGCTTACACAAGGGCTATTCTCAAAAAAAAAAGAGCTAACATAACAGGGAAGAGGAGGGAGTGGAGGCAAAAGCAGGAAAGGAGATTTGCTTATGGCGAAGCTTAGAGGGGGGGGGGGAAGGCTAGAGGAAGGAGGACAAGGAAGGAGTTACCACAGTCAAAATGTTTTTTTACCATGCCAAACGGACGAAAAGGGAGGTACTCCATGATGATGTATGACCCGGTTTCTGGAAGGTCCCCGCAGGCCAAAGGCTTAGGTATTCTGACTGTTGATGTCAGCCCCATGATCCTGAGCCTGAAATAACCAAACAACCCCCCCGCCCCATTATCTCAGCAATACACTTTAAAATTTTGTTTTTTCTCTTTTTCCTCCCATTTTTTCCTCACTTTCCTTCCTTCCTTCATGCATGTGCACCTCCCTGGCTTCACTCCTTTGTTTTTTTTTGTTCGTCTTTTTTCGCATTTCCCTGGCTTCATTCCCTCTTTTCCCCATTCCGCTGTCTTAAAGTTTCAGGAAAACAATGAAACGTGGTTCTCACTACCGTCTTCACCCGAATAGAACGCAAGGTCATTATAGCTGCCTCTGGCCCAACTTCCAGTCCAGATCCGGCGATAATGACCGGCCGTTCTATTCCTCTGAAGACCGTCGAGTCAGCGCACTCAAACTCTTCAAATGCAAGAATGCTGAAGAAGCATGAGCCCTGGCTCAAAAATAACACAACAAGCATGAGTGAGACCTGGCTCTGAGTGGCTCAGAAATAAACACAAACATTCACGACTCTGACTTCTTTTACTTGCTCCACATATTTGACAAAGAAGAAAAAACATGACATTGTGGTGGACGCTGTCTCCTTTCCGTGATTATGTTTCTCGGGTGTGTCTATTATCACTACTGTCTAATCAATTAGTCAGAGTCGGAAAACAAACAAAGGAGCGAAGCAATGAGTCTGCTGAGTTCACACAACTTTTCTCAAAAGCATCAGTCGACGCATTACTTGGGACAATCTCTGGAATGTCAAAAGACGAGGCTGAAAATGCAATGCATCCATGATCCAGGCAATGGTCATGACTCATGACAAACAAAAGCGGCAACATTAAGCAACAACAACAACACCAAGAACCAGGAAAATGATGATGCCGACGACGATCAAGACAACCACCACCACGACCACAACTACAACGATCACGATCACTGATCCTTTTCCTCCTCCTGCTACAGCCCTTGTTCCCAGTTCTTGGTATGGAATATAAAGGCAACTTTAGTGAGATGTTACCTTTTAGGAGCAACACAGCTAGGACTAGTAGGTTTTTCTGATGCCCTGAGAAAAGGGTGAAGAGGCAGTGTTTCTCTTTAAGTTATTATTTTCCCATCCTTTCAAGGGAATCGAGTGTGGAGCTCCCATCAGAGTGGTCAGAGATTCTTATCCCAGGTGTTCTGATAACTATGTACTCAATTGTGTACGCAAGGGACGCTGGACCCGATTTCCAGCAGGTGAAGCTCCCCACCAATAGATGGAGCCGCTACCAGCAGGCTGCTAGGGAAGGATGCTCTTATCACCTCCCCTAGCAGTTCTGCACAGGCCTTTCTTTTTTTTTTTTTTTTTTTTTGTTTGAAGGAAGGATGACGACAACAAAAACAACAACGACAACGACAGCGACAGCGACAGCGACAATGACAACGACAACGACAACGACAACAACAATGGCGAAAACAACAAGTCAAAAGACGAGCCTGAAAGTGCAATCTCCATTGTGAAATCAGACTGCATTCAACCAATGGTGATGACAACAAAAGGATCAGTAGCAGTGGCAGTGAGAGACGGTTAACAGAGGCCTTAATTTTCAGCGGTTTCCCAGGTCATTTATAACAAATCCCTCCTAAGACATTTTTAGCCAAACTTGCCAGTAATCCATAGAGTGGACACCATACTACAATCAGACTCCCTTTCACTTCCACTTCACATACATGCAAACAGGTGACGATTCACACTGGCGCAGAGCGCCCACTCAGAGCTCAGAGATATGGACAACAAGAACACAGCTCAGATGCAAGTTCACTTCAATAGGCTATGGCGCCACAGCGCCTGGACATCCCAACTCTCGTCGCCTCGTTCAACACCACTGTTCGCACGCCCTCAACTCTCCTCCTACCTCTACCTTCGGCGGCTATGGCCGCTCGCCTCTACCGCTATGGCTACAATCTCGCTCTTCAGACCACTTCGTCTTCGGGCAACCTGCAGACCACCTACGCACAAGACGCTGTAGCAGCGCTTCCGCATGGCTTACACAGCGAATGAATGAATGGCTGGGAGCTGCCTCTTGATTTATACTTCTGTAGCTCATTGGTCTACCCCTTTCCCAGGCCCTTGGTGCCCACAGTCCCACACGGTACTTGCTTGACTGGACTCTGACTGACTGGGACCGGTACCGCTGACTGCATGGGTTTGCACTGCCAACTCGATGCAGTCGCACTGCCCACGTAACGCAGTTGGGATCACCACTTGCCCACTTGCCTCTGACTAAACGTGAGACACTTTGAAAGGCCACTTCTGGACCTTCCGGAAGTCTGTGGACTTGGCCTTTCGGGTACTGTAGCGGCTACGACCTTGACCTTTCAGGACTGTAGCAGCTACGACCTTGGCCTTTCAGAATACTATAAATTTAAGTTATTGAATGTTATTTAACTATAAAGCAAAAGTGCTCTTTCATGCAAAAAATTCACTTCAACGAAAATTTCAGAAACGTCTATACAGGTATTTCCAATGCTGCAAGAGAGTTGTAAAACACTGAAGTAGGCACACAGCAACCTTGAGTGGTCCTTGACTCCTTGACCTTAAACAAAAACAGAGGGGGGGGGACAACAAAAAATAAAATAAAAAAGGACCCCCAAACCCTAATTGCAGTCTAGTCCCTTAACTGGGGCCAGAAAGTGGGGGTTGCAGTTAACGGCTTGTTTTAACTGAACATGGCTGTAATTGCAGTTACATTACATGCAGCTAGTCCTAGTGCTGTTAGCCCTTAGTCATACCAGCCATTACACAGAGGGTCTGTGAAGTGCCTACTCACGCTTCTAGCTCTCCTTGAAACATGTCATTTGCACGGAAGGTCCTGTGAAAAAACAACAGAAACAAACACTACCACCATCAGGAGAAGAAAGAAGAAAAAGAAGAAAAAGAAGAAAAAGAAGAAAAAGATAGGAGGAGGAGAATTTAGGAGTAGAAGCAGAGCTATAGCAACAGTAATCCGAGGAAGAACGGGGGCAAGGAATCTGAAAAATAGGGCCTCTGACAGCTCACCTGCTGATTAGCGCGAAGTGTGCAAGAATTGCCATGTCCATGTGGTGCGTCCATGTGGTGTTGTGTGTGGTGTGTGTGGATTTGAACACTACAGCCTTGCAGGGGCGGGGTGGATATCGAGTCCCGTATGGTTTCAGGTTTTGGGCATCATGTCCTCGATGTAGTCGTTAAGGGACTCATCTCTTGAGGCCGAGGTCGCCAGTTCGAATCCATGCTTGCATGGAGGAGTGCCTTGGGCCCAGATGTACGGATCTATAACTACATATAGGTGTACAGAAAGAAGTACAAGGGGACTGCAAAAGTGCAAAGTTTCTATTTTTTCTTAGCATGCTTTTCCTTGGACCACCACACTTGATTCCTGAATGCGACCACATCCATCAGCAACATTCAACATGCTGCATCAACTTTTTTTATTTGATGGTTCTTTCATTTTTTTTTTTTTTTTTTTTTTTTTTTTTTTTTTTTTTTTTTTTTTTTTTTTTTT